TCGTTGCATGGTCAAATCGATCGCCTAAGATCAGGCCCCTAAAATAAGTAATGAACACTCTCTGTTAGAGATCGAACGCCTTAAGTTAGCCCAAATTAAAAAGCAGACTGAACTAGAAAACTTGAAAACACAGTCAGTATCTGATGATTGAAGAAATGCGCAGATTGGAGTTGAAAATTTAATAAAAGTATTGAAACGCTTACAATCTCGTTTCCTGAGCAACCAGAGGCATTGCATTTGTTTTTCATTCCATTGGAAAAAGCGTTTGCCACCAAATAAGTTCCAGAAGCCTTACAAGCTGAGATAATAATTATTTTGCTAAGGGTTAAAACTAATAATGTTTTATCGTATGCAACTGAGGAGGAATGGTGGGATTACGAAAACTAAAAGATTTGTTTTAGCTGAATTTCAACCAACACCAAGAGAAATTCTTAACGCCATTAAACACGCTCAACGAGCAGCAAACGAGTCGCCGTAATGTTTGCATCGCGATTAACCGCAACATTCGAATACTATTGTCAGATTAGGGAAACACAAAATGACTTTAAAAAGTTATGTGATTTAATTGTTAAACTGAATGAAACTTTGGATTTTAAAACGAAAGAATGTATACGTGTTCACGGAGGAAAAATATCGTTTAATCCAACCACTTTAGGGCAAAAATGTGATTTATATTTTTCATCCCAAGGAAAATCACTGTCTGAAATACATAACCCTAAATTTCAGCCTAAAGAATCAAAAGTACCAAGTGTTCGAAACCAAACTATTAAGAATGACTCATTTCATCGAAATAAACGTGAAGTCTACCGCATGGGATTCCGTCGCGCCAGAGAAATCATATAATATTTGTGGGGAGAAAAGGAGAAATTTTTCATTTCGCTAGGGATTGAGTAAAACGATTAAAAAAAAAACAAACCGAATAAAATAAGGGAACGGGGGAAAAAACAAAAATAGTGTTAATAATGTCAGTTTCGTTCAAGAGTTACAATATGCTGGTATTTTAGTAGAAAATAAAAAAAAAAAAAAAAAAAAGAAAGAAAAGAAAAGAAAAGCACTTATCGATTCGGGAGCTCAAGTTACAAACTCATCATTAACTGAAATAAAACACCGCTGCAGGTAAAATAATACTTAGCTCTTGTTTTGATGAAAAAAAAAAAAAAAAAAAGAGACATGTATCGCCATAGGCAAACAGTAAGGTATTTTATTCAAATTTAATCTTCCTGTTATGGATTAACAAACTAAGCCAGATTCTAGAATATTGTATGTGAATATGACATAGCATCTTATTTTTCAAATCTCATTTATATTACTTAATAAAGCGAAAGCAATAAAACTAGTTAATAATTTGAAATTTTATTTTACTTTCTATTATAAATAATGATACGAATTAAAATGCATCTAATTTATAAAATACCTTATTTATAAATTAAAAAATATTTGCAACTCTACCGCAACTCCCAAAAGATGTTTTGAACATCAAATACTACGTTATTCGCATAAAATAGTTTGAAATATTTTATTTTGGAGATAGTTTACGATGCAGCATCAAAGCGGTAGTCTTTCTGCATATAAAAATCTGACGTGGACACTACATGACTTTCTTGTACAGCCTATTAAAGTATACACATTTTTTGCTGAAATTCATTTTCATTAAATTCTTATTTCCTCGACTTATCCTAACTTAATTAACCGATTCCTCGAGACAACTTGAAAATGACATCCAAAACTGCAAATTTTGGAATTAAATATTCCAGTAAATTTTAATAAATAATTATTGTCGTACGGAAGTCAAACTTCTTGTATTTTTATCTTTTCACAACGAGTATAAACCCTACCCCTATACAAGTATAGGAACCGCCAGACCGCATTCAAATTTATATATCTTTTATTTTTCCTAAATAATTTTTTTTAAATTTGACATCACCAAAACATGAATATTTTCTTTATTTAGAACCCTTCTGTGATTAGAAGTACATATCTACGACCAAAGATTGCATAAATAAAAGCCGAGTAAGGCGCTTGATATATATATATATATATATATATATCGTCTTACTGGTCGTTATACACTTTTGATACTGTCGATGCAATAGAAATGGGAGGTGCACAACCAAATGTTACAACAGGTCCATGTACAAAATTTCAAAGTTCGTTTTTCACTTACGCGAGATACATACATACATAAGCACAGAAGTCAAGAAAAAAATCAATTCCGAATCTATTTTAAATCCCTTTTCCAATCCGTTTTGTAATACAGAATCCTTTATTCTGTCCGTACGTAAGGATATTATACAAAACGATAGACGAGGGATTCGAGAACGGTAAAAATTGATATTTTAATTGAAATCTGAAATACAAAATACTTCCTTTACTTAAAACAAAAAAGTAAAACTATATAAAAGGAAACAATTCGAAGATTTAAATATCAGTTTCTAAAAGACGAATCAACTATATAACGCAAACTGATAAGATTCCTTGCTTTCTCTTTTCTCTCGGAATAGCGATAATTTTAAAATTTCCATCATAGTATGAGCTTTGGATAGAGTCCTGCCTGACGACTCAAGGTACTTGAACATAATCAGAAAACTTTATTTACTTTCTTTGGTTCAATGATCACATATACCATATGCGGAGAGCACTATAATAAAGTGTATTAAGGTAGGTTTATTGTATCCTCGCTCTCCTAAATTGAGTGTTACAGTTTCTTAAGTCACAGTCTGTGGGAAGATAAGAAAGACACAGAGAAAAGTGGGATTGAACATAAAAGAAAAGCAGTGTAAATGTGTTTGTTCTTTACAGGTGTGTGAATCCTAATATCCTATACGTGGACGGTTTTAAGGGTTAGTCAGTTTTTCATTAAAACTTGCGGAAACAAATACGAAAAAGTTTCAAACGAATATATCCATATAGAGAGGGTATTTGCACATTTTTAGAACCAGTTAGATAAAGAATTTAATAAAAAGCAAATTTTTGGAATAACAATTTCTGGCAACAGCTTCTTATTTGAAATGAGAAACAGCGTCTGCTATTTCTAAATTTATATATTTTTTAAAATATCGCCAGTAAACGAGCTATGAATTGAAGGATATATTTCTGTTTTTTTTAAGAGAAATAGTCCTCTTCCATAATTAAAAGTACATTGAACATTATAGTATATTCAAAATACAAAAACGTTGTGAAATGTACGATATCAAAATTTCTAAGTCCAAAATAATTAACATTATTAATCGGAAAGGGCGAAACCGTGAATAATTACTTCTACATTATCTGCATGGAAAGAACACTCCAAACGAATACCTGAAAAATTTATGTACTGTTTCTAATGTTTCCAAAGCCAAATTATTGATAACGACAGAAAATACGGCGATGCAGAAATCGATTGCAAAATCTTTAAATACATCTGTAACAACAATAAATAAAATGGTAAACCAAGCTTTCACAACTTTAAAAGACTAAAAAACAAAATGTTCACCATCTTTTGCGGAGGCATGTGGCTCAGCGCAGAAAAACTTGTAGAATCCTGTACGAAAACTGTTTAGATGGAGATAAATGGAAACACACTGTGACCCTGGATGAAACATGAGTTTACCTAAATCACTGAAATAGTAATAATAAAAAAGAAAAAGATCTATTTATTCTCGGAAACTAAGGGAAAGTACATACAAAACTGGTTCCATCAGAGCAAAGAAAGTTTTTGTGAGGATTTTATAATTGTCCCAGGATTCTCTTCCAGTGTATAAGAAAACTCCAATGAGTAAGAAAAATGTTAATATCAACTCAACGTACTTTCAAGAGAACAATGTTCGACAATTACAGAAGAAATTCCATTTCTGCATCCCAATGACTTTCAAACAGTGAAACTTCCTCAAGACAAAGTAACAAATTATACTTCTAAAAATACTACTGCATTGTTTGAGAAAACGAAAACTGATACACCTTTTGCATATATACCTTTTCAATGCATTCCTACAAAGTCCCCTGATGTTTCATCTGTGGAATACTGTGTCTTTGGTCTTTGTAAAAGTTCTAAGGGCAAACTGACATCGATTCATAAACTCTGTAAAGTAGTGGAAGAGGAATTGTAATTAGTAGCTTGTAAATTTGACAGAAAGCCCTGCTATCTTGGAAATCACTATGGGGACTTATATATAGTTCAGAAAAAATGCTGCCAGAAGGACATTTAAAAAATACTCTCTACATTTTAAATGCTAATTAAACGGCTTCGAATTTGTTCTACAAATTTGTAGTCCTTTGTAGATCTCCCTCTGTAGTTTGCGATTTTCGTACCTCTGAAAGTTCTCTATAGCACTATTAACAACATTAAGTGTATAGGAATTTGGGTGGAACACAAAAGTTTATTTGTTATATCAGGGGGTTCGCCATAACCCGGGTTAGGTATAGCGGGCTTCGGCTATGTGTGTCATGACTTAATTTGGTGTTCAAAGGCCATTTTTAATATTTGACAGACCGTGATAGTGGCACCAAAAGCTTTGCCTAAGCCATTCTACGCATTGACTTTCTAACAAAGACATGGATATGAGAACTATAGTATGACATGCCAGCATGTTAATTTCTTGGCTGCCATAAAGATTACCTTTAAAAGAGTCCATTACATGCAGCTCGTAAACAAAATCATACGAGGAACCTCAATGTTGGCGGTTGAAAAATTAATCCAACTGGACTTCTTTCTTGGGACTTAATGTGGATTCTCCGATGATTTGCAGAAAAAGTTCACCTGATCCACTGCAGACTCAACAAATCCGGGCCACACGGAGAGAGAGGTAAACGCATCGGTCTCGTGACACGGAAGCGAACGGGATAGAAAGACACCCTTCCAATCAAATAGAAGCAACAAGGAACTACATAAAAAAGCATTAAAAATCGTAAGCGGTTTGCAGTTTTTATTTGTGGGAGTCGCATCGTCAGCAAGGCCTGACGTCAAAGAAGTGAGGGAGTGAACTGAACTTTGGGAGTCGCAGAGAGAGAGCGAGAGAGGGTGAAGACGTCGAATTTATTTTTAGCGCCTCGTCCCGATTTAGCGTCTGACACTGGATGCCAGCCTATCTTCCCACAAATCCCCAAGAAGGTTGCTGCTTCAAAGTACCTCCGCATCGCCCACAGAACGAATGGGATTGCAAGTGCTCCGTTAAACAAGCAATGTAAGTACTCAATTTCTAAATATTTCCTGTGTGGGATTTTCTTATAATTATTTAATATTTTCATAACTTATTATACTAATAGTTCAACACTTTGCTTGACCATACTCATTTATTTTATTTATTATTATTTAATTCATTATTTGATTTATTATGTTATTTACATTACTCAAGTGTTTGTTTTACTTCCTTGCACTAAATAAAGGAAGCTTTTTAATTTCGAAAATTTTCAGTTATCAGATTTTTAAAGAAAATATCCATTCTGATAGTTCCCGAATCCCTTTTGACTTTTTTTTTTTTTTTTTTTTTCGTGACGTCTGTACGTATGGATAAAATAAAGTTTACACTTTATTCCAAAACGGATTGTAAAAGAATGCATTTAAAATTGATTTTTTTTTATGATCTCTGTACGTACGTATGTACGTATGCATCTTACATAACCCACAAATGATTAATTGTAGAATGTTGAAATTTTGTATATGGTATTACTATAATATCTAAATGTGCCCCTGCTCTTTTTATTGCAATCGGCAGTACCAAACATACACACACACACACATATATATATATTAATATAAACACCCCCTTACTCGGCTTAAAAATCCTTACTCGGCTTAAAATCCTTACCCGGCCTTCATTTTCGTAATCTTTGATCGTTGGCATATGCTTCTGATTACAGAGATGTTTTAAATGATGAAAATATTGATGTTTTTGCCATTTAAAATTTAGAAAAACAAATTAATTTTGGACAAAGAACGAAATGTAACTTTTAATATAGTCTCCCAGTTCCTATACTTATATTTGGGAAAATTTTATACATGTTACGGAAAAAAAAAATAAAAGCAGTTTGACTATCGCATGATGGAAATTCACCTCGATATTTAATTTCAAAATATGCAGGTTTAGATATCATTTTCAACTTGCCCCGAGGGATCGCTTAATTCAGTCAGAATAATTTGAGGAAATAAATTTAAATGAAGTGAAGCAGAAAATGGGTATAATTTAATACACCATACAAGTAAGTCATGTGGTGAACCTATCATATTTTTTTAAACAACAATCGGATAATGTGCTGATGGACTCAACAGTCACAGATTTTAATCTTCCTTATAAGACAAGCAACTCGAATATTTGCTGCAAAAAATTTTTGGAAATTTCTGATATTTAAACGTGTTTATGTTTTCCGTTTACCCAAAGAAGCTTATTGCTAACCTAAAGCTTATTATTAATATTATATATTAATTTATTATGAACTAGGCGGTTCAGCGGCCAGTGGCCTAAAACAGTTATTATGAAAAAGAAAATATGATTTTAGTGGATCCAGATAGTGTAATTTCAAAACAAACATTTAATATTCCTGATTAGATATCTCATGACTGAAATGGACTTTTATTTAAAATTAATTACATTGAAACGGGGTAAAAATTACGTTAATTATTTTAAATCCTTCAGTTTGTTAATCTATAGCAGGTAGATTAAATTAAATTGTTAAATGTCTCCCGTTTTACTTAACACGCTGGTATTTTAAGATAAAAGTATTTTATTTCACGCAGTGGCTTTTCAATAAATAACATTAAGCGAGTTTGTTGATTAAAATTGAAAGATGTAATTGTAAAGCGGCAGCTATCTGGTGCGAATAATGTTGTCACCTCTCGTCGAGTTTGTTGATCCGAACGTCACCAGATTTGTACAAAATATGAAATAAATCAAAAACAAATTCAAAATTCAAATTTCTGGCTTCCATGTTTACATGTTCGGGTGAAGGACTTCATGCATTTAAAATTGTCTATCTCTAGGAGTCGCCGAAATGAGAACATACCTACATAAATGCATACATACAGTTTCTACCTTATTTTATTATTACCTTATTTAATTATTACCTTATTTAATTATTACCTTATTTAATTATCACCTTATTTGATAGTATTTGAGTTATGTTGTTTCAGGAGTAGGATGCGAGTGCGAATTTTTAATGAAATTCCTTTTGAGCTCCTAATCGTTTTATGCTTCCGAATTCCAATACTCGTTGAAAAATTTTAGTAACTTTGCCAAAACACATGTTCGGTCAGCCTAATCAGCTTACTACTATATTAACACATACCCGCAGCAGCAAACAAATAAATAAAATCTAATTAGATTTTTCTAACGCACACTTAGTAACTTTTATTTCGTTGTTTTTGTTAACGTCAGATATTTTATTAAGAGTTAGTAATATGAGATAATTAGTTAAATATTTTTATTTATTCCAAAAAGTTGCCTCATTTAATTAAAGTCATACCGAAATAAATCAGGTGCTATAAGTATCGATTTATATTTCATAATAATTAAATATAAAATAAAAGGTTTTATCATGCTATATTACTTATATTTAAAACTATGTATCAAACGTACGTGTTTACTTTCTTAATTTAGAAATGCGTGTTACGAAAGTTTATGTCAGTTATATACAAAAAAAGTTTCTTAGTCAAATAAAAATACTATATAATTTACGCATAAATGAATAATTAGATATATAAGTTGTCCACAAAATTCATGAATAACTTTATTCTATTACTGCTAGAAACCTACAAGAAACAGAGATGTAAATTTTTGTGTTGCTATTTCACGGACATTTAAGGTTTTCCCAAAGTTTTGTTTCGAGTTAATTTGCACATCCGTATGAGGATTTGGGGGATATGAAAATCCTCATGTCACTTGAGAGTTGAAGCGGGGCAGCCTTAAAGTGAATAGTTGGTGTAAGATACTACATGACAAGATTTTGGGAACATTTTTTGTTGCATGAATAAACGATAACAGTCGGAATTTACTTCGATAAGTTGATTAAATATATTTGCCAACAACCAGAGTAGCCAATGGCACGCATGCTGAGGTTGTGTAATTTGTGACACAAAAACTTTGAGCCTTGCTCGTGAAAGTGTAACCAGTACCAAAAATTTAAGCAATGGCCTGGCTTTAAAAAACTGTAAAAAGGAACTGATAGGAAAATAAATTTAAACAATGTTTATTTTCGAAAAAAAAATTAATTCCAACATTTTAAAATTATATTTTTTTCCCCTCTCGTAACCATCGTGGCTGGCATTGGTTTTAGAACACGTGCGGTTTTTACATTTCTTTGCACAATTACTAAATACACTCTTGCTCAAAAAATAAATAACAAACACTAAAAGATAAGATGCGCTGTAAAAAGCGAAATTAAAACAAACAGTTTACATATGAAATCCTGCAGTCAGACCACGATCCTTAAAAAAAGGGCATGCCGGACCTAAGCGTCAGTTCTCAAGCAGCGGCAGCTCAGGGTAATACGAGATAAACAAAGCAGACAGCATGAGCTGAAGACACCATCTGCACAATGAAAATGCGTTGGAGAGTAGTTGGGATGTTGCTAGCTGGTGAAAGACAATCCGCTGTTGCAAGAGAGCTGAATGTGCATCGTTGTGTCATCAATAGGCTGTGGAATCGTTATCAAAGGGATCAAAACTCTTGTAGAAGACGTGGATCTGGCCACCGCAGGATTACCACAACGGCAGACCGTCGCTTCCTGTTGCTATGTGCAAGTCGCCGTAGTTCACTAACAGCACTACAGCTGGCTTGAGAAGTCTCTGCACCTGCAGGACGGCCCGTATTCCGTCAAACTGTATAGCGTTGACTGCATGAATGTGGACTGTACAACCAACGACCTGTGGTTTGTGTTCCTTTAGCATATAAAAACGTGGTTGATTTGGGCCACTGAACATCTCAGTTAAACATCAGATCAGTGGAGCCACGTTCTCTTTACTGCTGAGTCTCGATTTAACATCCAGAGCGATTTTCGAAAGGTTGGAAGGGCAGTGATATGGCGAGAGCCAAGGACCTGCTATCGAGAACAAAATGTCGCCAAAAGGGACCATTACAGAAGAGAAGGCTTACTTGTATGGGCTTAGATAGCAACGAACGGCCGGACCAACCTCTACTTGATTCCTGGTGATTCCGACACATCCGTTCAATATCGCGACGAAAATCTACACACTCTTGTGCGTCCTTTTATCACGGCACTGGGTAACGATGCCATGTTTATGGACGATAACGCCCTCCCGCACAGAGCTCAAGTGGTCTGGAATTATATGGACAGTGAAACCATTCCACATCTGCCGTAGCCTGCTTTATCCCCGGACCTGAATCCCATACAGCATGTGTGAGACATGTAGGGACGGCGCATAGCAGGTCACAGTGTGCCACCAGGCTCCCAATACGAGCTCCAACATGCATTACTACAGAATAGGTGCTACTGCCACAACAAGTGGTCAACGCTACTTTTGCCAGTTTGCCTCGCCGATGTCAAGCAGGCATTTCAGCTAGAGGGTATCATACTCGTTATTAGCGTGATGTTCTCATTGCACATTCTTCCGACCCGTTTGCCAATGAGATGGTAGTGATACATGTATTTTTGTACGTCTTTGCTTTATTGTTTGTTATGTGGTCTAGTAATACCACACCAACCTCTTGGATCATTTTCACGTATATTACATTAAACAGTTTTGTTTTATTGCGTGTTTTGCCTTTCTTGCTTATTTTTTTAGCAGGAGTTTACAAATGAAATGACTTTGTTTTTCACGTATACTACAGATCATCTTATTTAAATCTGATTGCTTTCGAAAAACTTTATTCGAAACGTATTTGATTTAAAAAAGAAAGTTTCTTCAGAAAGTCATGAAGCTGAACTTGTATAAGTATTCGAACACTTTGAACAAGCAATTTAAATTTAATAAAAACTTGAAAAAAAAAAAAAGAAAAATCCAATACTTTGTTAGATATCCTTTAGCTAAAATTGAACTTTTCACGCGCTTTTGTCACGGATTTAGCTAATTTTTTCGAGTAAGAAAGTTACATTTTGATCTATTCCTCAGGAAGAAATGCTTTTTATACAGCTTTCGAAGAAATGTCATGTTTACTTACATTTTTCACCTACTCATCGCATATTCGATAGGTTTTAAGTCCGAAGAATATGAGAGGAGTTTCGACAATTT